AAGCACTGTAGGCTTGGTGCACTTGCTTGACATATATCCTTAATTTATCTGAATTTTCCTATGAATGGAACAAGCCTTAATTAAACAAAAGGCTCCTTTACTGAATTTCTGCTGACGTTAAACCACATTAATAGTTTACTTGGTTTACAAATGTCCTATATAAAACAGCTAAAGTTGTTTTACAAACAGCAAAACCAGAGGCACCCTTTTATAATACAGAGGAAAATGCCAACAGCAGGTGTGGAACCTGAGACACCTGACAGGATCACCAACTGCAGTGCTCATCCTAAGCTGTTGCTAATCTTGAAAAGCAAACAAAGAATCAAAACTTGATTTCAGTATTACAGTCCATCTGGAACTGTCTTATTAAAGATGAAAAGACAGACAAGGCATTCTCACGGGACAAATTTGGGATGGAAGGCATTTTTGTCCTCCTGAGCTGGGCTGGCACAGCACTGGAGTACCCACCTCACTCACCTGAGGTGCCCTGATTCCAGCTGGGAGAGAGTTAATTTTCTTCCAAGTACGTACAGTGCAGTGTTCCGGATTTAGTATGAGAACACTGCTGGTGGCACACGAATGTTTTAGTTGTTACTACAGTGCTTACTGTAAATGAAGGCTTTTTCAGTTTCCCATGCTCTGCCAGCAAACAGGTGCACAAGAGAATGGGAGGGAGCACAGCTGACCCCAGCTGGCCAGAGGGACATTCCCAACATGGAATGTCATGCTCAGTAAATAAACTGAGGGGAGTTGGCCAAGAGCTGCTGATCACTGCCTGGGGATGGGCTGGGCATCAGTCACACAGTGGTGAACTGAACAGTTCTATTGTGCATCACTCGTGTTTCTTTAGACCCCTCTCTTTTTCCTATTATTACTATTTTTTAAATTTATTTAAATTATTAAACTTTTCTTATCTCAACCCATGAGGTTTACCTTTTTCCAGATTTCCCTCCCCATCCCAGTAGGTATTAAGTGGTACTTACCTGCTGTCTGCAGTTAAATCATGACAAAAAGATACATTTTTAGAGGGTAAATCAGATACACACTGAAATTTATCCATCCCACACTCACAGATTAAATGCTAACTAATGAGCAAGGAAGAGCAAACACTTCCACAGTCTGATACTGACTCTGATGTTAGTTTATCTGAATGATAAATTTTACACTTGACTAAAATGAAATTGATGCAATTCACATTTCTGAGTATTGGCAGGTAATTGAGATGTGGCAAATAAAAAATTTGAAGAAAATAAAGCAAAAACACATTAAACAAAGATTCCTCTTGATTGCTAAAAGATGGTTTGGCTCCAAATGTGCTAGGGAACAGAGAGCTCTAACTAAAATACATAGAAAAAGGCAATAATTCTCCAAATACTGTCTTTATTCAGTTTTCTCCACAGCATATACCTGCAACATAGATTTTGTGCTAACCTATCTATTGCTATCTCCTTTGGATCTGAGATATTAACATTGATAGAGGGAAAGTTTAAAAGAAATCTAACACAGAGATGTTGAGCTTCATTTTTTTTTTAGTCTTTGTTAATTCTTGACCTTCCCCAGAAAGAATGAGAAGGAACCTGCCTACCCAAAGAGGCAGCAGCTGCCAGAGGTACTGCTGGTCTCACACCTGCAATCCATATGCCAGCTACAGCAACACCTCTGCACACCTGGTGCAGAAGCAGCCGCTCTGCTGCCAGTGATCCTGCAGAAGAGCTTTAGAAAATTCTTTTGCTTTGACTCCAAGCAGGTTACATTTGTCTCTGCCGTGCATCTCCAAATAACCAGCATCAAGACTAGGTTTATGTAAACTAAGCTGTTATACCACTTAGATGAAAACTTGGAATAGTTTCTCTATTCTGTGGTGATCTACATCAGATTAAAAAAGAGATCTGAGAAGAGAGTCTGGCAATAAAAAAAAATAGGTGAAAGACTATCTGTTTGTCATGAAATAGAGAATATTTCTATCTCACATGTGCTAGTAAAATCTTTTAAATTTGTTAAATCATCCCCTATAAGAAAGACATCACTTTTCTTATAGATCTGTTTCATCAATGCACAAGCCAGCCAGAAAGAGGACCCCTACAACTCCCATAAATATAAGATCCTTCATACTATCTTATAACACAGATTTTTAATTGGTTTTTATAGCAGAAGTCTGAGAATTACAGCATGGACTACATTAAATCATTATTATTCACTATGGAAAAGATTTATTTAATCTCTAGCTGAAAAATTCTTTGTGCAAGGAGTTTGGAGAGCACACTGTCATGCTTACACTCCCTGCTCTGTTGCTCTGTGCTTCTACCTGAGGTGGCTTAGCCCTCCTTGCATGCCCATGGAGCCCCTGTGTGCCACCCTGCAGCCCTGACCCTGAGGGACCGTGCCAGAGCTCTGCCCAGGAGAGGATGGCTCCCTTGCCAGGCTGTCCCTGCTGCTGGGAACACTGCGAGCCACCAGGGTCCCCATTCCCTTGATCTGCCACTGTCACTGCTCACTGGGGTATGCTATCAACAGGGACAAGCTAAAATATTCACCCTCAAGTGGCAAATTGTACACATGCCAGGTACTTCTGTCTGGCACAGTTTGAATCTTCTGCCTCACAGGAAAACACTACTTGGGGGCAAATGTGGCTGCAAGGGACCAGTCATTTAATGCATATTTCTCCTGCAAAACTTTCTTCAGCATCTGCACTGCTCTATGATTATCTGAATGCTATTCAATCTACCTCTAACTTGAGTTACATAAGTATATTTGCATCTATATTGTAAGCATTATACTAAATGAGATGGGACTGCCTATGTAATCATGCCATGACTTTCCCTTAGGGAAACCTGGTAAAATTATGTTCTATTACATTTGTAAAATACTACCCATTAAAAGCAGGAATAAAACTTTTATGTTCATGTGAAACAAAGCACAAAAGATTCTCCGCCCTTTAACTTGTATCAATTTCGATATGAAAGAAGCATTTTCCAGGCAAGAAGGGAATCTGAATTTGACTTCACTATTACGTGCTTTTGGCTTTGATTGTTTGACAGTTAAACCTCTTACCAAAATTCTGTCCTTTTTTCTTATTTTAGCATTATGAAACAAAAGAGAAGAAAACCAGTTCATCTGTCTTGAAGAGAACAGACAACTTTGGAACAAATTTTCTTGGGGACTTCTTATTTGTTATTGTATATGCCACAGAAGGGAACAACTGTTTCTACTGTGCTATTCAGGATCTTTTACTCTTGCTGCTGGTCAATTCATTGTTTTAATTCGTTGATGCTCTGGCAAACTTTCAAGTAGGTCATGGGAGAATTTTAAAAATGAAGCATCCATTTAGAAGTCACAGAGTGGTGATATATATACAGAGCTTCAATTTAAACCATTATTGCATACCATCCTTTTCCTTTTGTAATAATCTATTAAATGCTTTCAAGTATGGAGAAGGAATAGCAACCTGTAGATCTGAATGGAGCCCAGATGACCCATAAAATACATCCTGCCTCACTGCCTGACTAGTTCCAGCTCTCATCTCTAATGGTTACTATTGTTATTCTACCATTCAGACAACCACACGCATCAATTATACATTCTTCTGGGTCACAAATCCATTTTCTCAGGCAACATTTTTGTCTTAATGCATGACGCTTCCTTTTCAACCTGTGACCAAAGATGAAGGTCTCAATATTAAAAAGATATTTCTTTTTCTTAAATTATGTTGATAATCGGAAGAACAGCTTCATGGAAATCAGAAGGTGCAGCTTTTTGAACTATTTGGAAGAGTGTGTTTAGACCATGTATTGTCCCTTTATTACAGCAAATGTATTAGGCAGTACTTTGTGCTTTAGGTGAACATTTTTTCTTTTGTTCTATTGGTGCCTGGCAGCACAGCTATAATTAAATGTCCCCTGCCTTCTCTATTTTATGACACTTACAATTCAGTCATCTTAACTGGACTCTTCCTAAGCATATAAACGGCTGGCTCAAGAAGCAAAACTTTTCTCAGTGAAGCAAACTGAAAACCTTTCACAGTGCATTATCTCAGTGACTTCTTTGGAGTCTTTGGCTTATATTTGCCTTTTTAAAAGTGATTATGATGACAAAAGTTTCAGATAACTATCTGAAGAAAGTCTAAGACAGGTCTCCAAATTAATTTTTTTTTTGAATATACTATTCTCACAAACAAACCACTCATTATTTCCAAAGGGGCAAAGCAATTTCAATTTCATGGTTGACAAAATAAATAGGGGAGAGTAACACACCGCTTCTAAGGGTTTCTTGCACATCATGCAAGAAGTATTTTCTTGCAAGTATATTCTTAAAACTCAAAGTGAGAAATTCAGGGTAAGAGTCCTGAAGCCTCCTCAGCAAGATGCGAAGCCCAGGCCTCATCTTTGTCAGCCACAGGAGCCAGCAGCACCCCAGCAGCAGCAGGGCCTCACCTGCAGTCCCAGGGGCTGGAGGAACACACCCAGCGCCCACCACCACTCACTGCAGTGCAGAGCACCTGCCTCAAGGAGGCTGCTTCTAGCTACGGGATGATAACACCAGAGACACCATCAGTTCAACCCAACAGGCTCAAGACCAAGTCAGTGCAACAACCCCTGCAGCAAAACTGTTGTATTTTCATCATTTCCAAGCTCTAGTCTGAGCAGTACAGAGCCTGCTTTGCTGGCTACAAGATTAGGCTTCTCTCCTGTAGGCACACTGGGCACCAGAACAAAATCATGCTATGTTTAAGTCATGCAAACTGACCTACTGAGAGTGGATATTTGAGATAGATAGTGAATCTTGTAGCTGAATAAGTAACTCACAACCAAGGAAAGCATCCATTCAGTAGCAGACACAAGCACCTGACAACTACAGAGAAACAAAAAGTGCTTCATTTGTATATAGACGTACACACAAACATTCATGTTCATATAAATGCACTTTTGAGTACACACACACATCAGCAGGCACAAACCTAAACAGAACCCTGCTAACTGGCTTTTTGCTTACTGCTGCCTCCATCCATGAGCTGCTTTCTCAGGATAGTACTGCAGTCAGAGCCTTGTGTATAACCATAACCATAGCAGGCTGATCCTGAAGCATTCTCATCATATGCTCAATCCCTGCTGCCATCCTCATTGGGCAGGTCCAGCTGAATTGCCCAATAAAAAGCAGCTCTTACCTTTGGAGACCTATGGTCAGGGGTGTGACATCATCAGGCAAATCCTTTAAAAAGTATTTTCATGTTCGCTTCATTCTTTCTGGGGCATAAGTTGGGGTAGGGGAATAATTTCCAAAGCTGTCTTAAAAAACCTTGTCCTTTTCAAGCCTAAACAGAGGCACGGGATGAGTTATCTTAACTCACTTGTCTTCTTGTCCTGGTTTCTCTTTCCCCTGGATCAACCAAAGAAGTCACATCTCTCTAAGGATATCAATGTAGAGAGTTTCCAAGGGGTTTTACTCCATGTTCAAACATGTACTGTTTTCAGGAAAGCCAGTGCTCAGCATTCAGGATCTGCATTTTCTTCAAAATTCAAGAAAGGGTCTTCAGGTGCTAGGGAACATGAAAGGATGGCAATGGAGCTGATCTCAGCCACTTAATAACCACACCAGGAGGACCATATTAATTCCTAGTCTCTGGCCCCTGTCACCACTCTGTACTTTAACTCATCCCACATCAAGATCATTTTTAAAGAAAACCCTTGGTTTACCCTGGTGAGGAGAGAGGCAGCCTTACAGGGGAGCTGAGGTTGAAGGGATGGCCAAAACTATGCATTCCTGCATTTCACATGGTCACAGCCTTTGGGTCTTTAAAGCAGCCAGTGGGAACCATTTAGCTGAATCCTGTTCAGATCTAGGAAAAGTAACATATAAATGTTATTTTAACATATAGGTTTTTGGTTGGCTGGTTTATTTGTTTGTTTGTGAAGGCAAGGGGGTGTGCTAGGTTTAACTTTATTATAACTAAGTCTATATAAATGCAAATACTGTTTTCATAGATATAATTTCATAAAGCAAAACTACCCACAATCTTTAGCAGTGAAATTCAAGTGGCAACTGTGACAAGTAAAGAAAAATGAATGCAGTTAACTTCAGCCATTCCTGCTCATCTGAAAGCTTGTGTCAGTTCCTAAATAAGCTTTTCATTTCCCCTATTCAGTCTGCTGATCTTTGTTGATTTACAGCATGAATGAGCATGGCACATTGCAACTTGTAGAGTATATTTTTCCTAAATAATAAAACATTTATTGCAGACCCATCAAGCCTGCTAGTAGCTTTGAGTTATTATTGCAATGAAGTATCATGTTAACAACTCATTTACATTGTTGCAGAAGACTCTGGGTTAACATTATTTGTAATTTAATCCCATTCATGAGAGAGGACTCCCAAAAATATATCTAGAGCTGATAAATTACAATTTGATGGTATTTTTCTAATCAACTGTTTTTCAAGATGAAGCTGCCTTCATCAAGTCCATCCCACCCCTCACTTTCCCTGTGGAGCAATGGCAGCTGAGCAAACCATTTCCACATGGTGTTCTCGGCAAGCTCCAGCCTCAGGCTCTTCCTCTGTCAAAACAAGAAGAAAGTATATTTAGTGGAGAGCTACAAAGATCTTATCGCTTTGGGAAGAAAATAATTTGTTGGGCAGAGAGTGAGGTCTGTATTCTGGTGGCTCTTTGAAGGGTCTGACTACAGCGTCACCATTGGCCTGGGGTGGGTGCCAGCTTCCAGCTGAGGAGGCACAGGAGCACAGGCTGCCAGTGTGTGCTGGGCAGCAGCCCCCGAGGGCAGGGCAGTGCCCAACACTGCCACTCAGCCCAGCTGCACAGGCCAGAGAGAACAGAGGCTTCTGCCAGAGCACTCACACATTTTGGATGATATAATAACAATAACTGTGATAATGATGGCAATAATAATAACAATAATAAATTATTAACAAATTTTAAAAATCCCCCAGGATGTACATAATTCTCTACGTACCAATCAGAAATTATCTTTTTAGTCAGAGATTAGAATCAGTGTAACACTTCTTTCCAACAGATTCCCCTTGGCATGGATGATGCACTGCAAAACCCATTTTTACATGAGTCCTGCAGCAAATGCCTGAGGCCACAGTGAGGCCAGAGTCAACACAGCAGAGGGAAGGACACGATGTCCAGCACACAGGGACATGCCGTGACAGCCTCTGGAGATGGTGGCACAAGGCACACAGTGAACAGCAGGGCAGTCTCTGCAGTTCCCTGCTGCTCTGCCATGCTCAGCTGTGAACCAGTGCTGCAGCACTGTGCTCAGACCAGCACAGTGTGCTCAGAGCAGGCTGAGCCACCCCAAATCTGATGGGTATGGACTCATGGGAACATGCTGTATGATACCCTGTGTCACGGATACCCAGGCTATGACCACTTCTGCATTGTTATACTCCTGTTTTGACAAATACCTGCGGTCAAACAAGTTACTGCTCCTGGTGCCTTGTGGGCTTGGGATTTATTTATAAGACCCCAAAAATAATTTTCAACAGTATTGTTTCTACTTCCTAACACTTAGCGCTACTTATGAGAAGTACATTCTTTCCTGAATATAACTTAATTTTGCATCCAATAAATCCAAATTCTTCTTGCACAATCTTCCATTTCTATCTAATAAGTTGGGAGAGACAACATCACTAACTTCTTTAACTCTCTTGGGTACAGTCAGAGTACCCAAAATTTCACCAAATTTTGACCAAGTCCTGCCTAAGAAATAGTTTTTACTACATCATCAGGTACCCAGTCCATTCCTGAGATCATTCATTAATAATTTGATTCCCTCAGTCTTTTTTTTAAAGACATTTCAAGCGAACTTCTTAGCATGCTAAAGTTTTCTGTCATTTTCTAAGTCCCTGAAACTGCTTATAGTAGAGGGCAGAATATTATTTCTCATCTATTAGTTTCATTTGCAAAAACATTGTGTTTAGTTGGGTTTTTCTTTCCCTAGTACTCCAGGTAGAATATTGACTTGATTAACTTGAAAGAGCCTCCTACTTCAGTTCCATTTCAGTCTCCTTCCAGGGGCTGACTCTAAACCCGAAAATGCACTATTTCCCCCAAAACTGAACAAGCCAGAGACTCTGTCCTACCACCAGATTCCTGATTTAATCCAGCACCAGGAGCCAGATGTCCCAGGCACAGGTGACACTTCCAATACACGTGTACCTGCTCTCCTAACAGGCATCAGTGAGAGCAAGGCCAGCAGAAAGCAGAAACCATGTGGCAAAAACTGTTAAATCTGTTAAATTTCCCATTAGTTAGAGAAATATTCCTACATGCAAAATCACATTGCTCTTACTCAGCTAAAGTTGCATGGGTAAAAAATACAACCATAAAACCCACATGCTACCACCTTATGGTACTAAGTAATGGTAATCTGACATAATTTCAATGTCCCTATCACATCAATATGCTTATTCTGCTTTATTTCAAATAAATTACCTATTTTAAAAAAATATTTGAACCATAAGGCACAAATAAGTGAGCATTATTGTTTGCTGGTTGACTAGATAAGGAGTTAAACATCTAGAGGTGAAGTGGAGGACAATTAATGTACTACCCTGCTTAATTATCACACAAGGCCCACTTCTCAGGGAATTTGAGCTATTATGATCTACTCCTACAAATAAATGAGAATTTTAGCTCTCAGAGGGTAATGCAATAGTTTTGGAAATAATCTTTTTATGAGATTGTGGCTTTATCAGTTATGTTTCAGAGTCAGTATAAACACTTTGTATCATAGGAGAACAATTTCAGACTGGCTTGTAATTTTAATTTCTGTACCCATATTCTTTTATTTCACTTTTCCTATGCTCTTATTCTAGAAAGAAAAGAAAAAATTAATTTGCATCCTTACATCTTTTCACAAAACACTATCATAACAAATATTCAAATAAAAATAGAAATCATGATTCAAGCAATACAAATTATGTATAAATTGGTTTCCAAAACAACTGAACACCCAGAAAAAGCAGTCCTGATGATGCTCAGTGGTATCCATACACTGGAGGGTAACTCAATCACAGCATCAAATACAAAGAAAGAGGAATATTTCTTTCAGAATTTCATCTGATGTTGTAAGATATTTGTTTTTATTCCATGTTATATAAAAATATTCTTTATGGAACATTTAGTCTCAAATTCTTTGAAATTTTATCAGCAGAACTGCTGAGCTACTATAAAGCTGCCCAGTTTCAGAGTTTCATATTCACCTTTCCAGCAGACAGAACAAACCTAAACATACACAAATTTAAAAGCAGCTTGACCACAAAAGAAAGCTTTAGGAGACCCAAATAGTGGACCATATGTGATATCAAATGGGCAAGCCATTAGCATCAGCTGTGAACATATTGTACCAACTGGGAATGAAAATAAAACATTCAACTACCAACTGTTATAATCTGTAAATAGTCAAACCAATTCCTCTGGGTTCCAAAAATATATGAATAGGGTGACTCATTGGGTCCCCATTGTCCTGTTCAAAGGTAATGCAGCAGATTTGCTCCTAGGGAAAAAAACCAAAAAAAAGAAAAACACAGAAACTGTGGTTAGTGAGATCTGATATTAGCAACAATTTGTATATTAAAAGACTCTTGGGCTTTTTGAAACTATATCTAAATGTTTCACATTAGGGATAAAAAAATATTCTTTTGAAGCAACTTTTCTCTGTACAATGCAAAACATTAAAAAATACCTCCATTGCAAATTATGTTGAGAAACTGGCAGAATACTAGAAAATTTATAGAGGGCACCAAACTACTGAGAATTCATTGTACAGCTGGCAAGAGCACTCTTACCTACTAGTTGCTTCGCATTTAATAATGCATGTTATGAACAGATGGATAGAATGTCAATAAGGCTCTCTGTATCATCAGTGGTAATGAAATAGTGGACTTTGAATGCTTAATAGCACAGAAAACAAAAAGCCTAGAGGAAATTTGTCAATGTCATGCATGCAATACTTCAGCAGTGCTTTAACACTGTTAGTGTGAGGCCATATGTTTCTTCTAACAGAATCTACTGGAGCTGGGTGCCAAAAAAAGTTTGACACATTTTTTTTAACTCCTACAACATGTTAAGAGCAAATACCCTGTGAATCAGTCAGGCAGAGTAGTCAGCAGAAGTGCAATATCATTACTCTTTTTTACTCTTTTCTCAATGAAAAGAAGTTATGGGAAACTTACTAGCAAACATTGTTCTTTATACCTGCTTCAGAAATACATTTGAGAGTAATCTCTTGCAATTAAATATGGAAATAAAGGCAGTAGATCTTGTTGTCAAGAGCTGAAGATGTGAATTTAGAAAATACTGCAAGTAAAGAAGAAAATATACATAGCAGCACCTAGACATCAGACACATAAAAAGGAATAAAAGAGAAAATTGTTTGGAAAATAATCTTAGTCAAAATTCAGCTAAAATAAAAATTTTCAGTAAAAATTCCTTGGAACAGTCAGAATGAGTAGATAGCAGCAAGTGGCCATTCTGAGATGCAGACCTGGGAATATGTGGGAATAAGCCCACCAGGCACAGGCTTTCTCTGTAAAATGGGTGGACAAACAGCAGCCTGGCAGGTAGCACCTACAAAGGCTGCAAAGGCACCTGGAGTGGTGTTTCCAACCTGCACACTTTTCAGGCAAGCTGTCCTCAGTATTTCAGGAAGTGTCAGACAGCTGTGGCAGGTAAGCCTCTGTGAAACACCGAGATCTCAAGTTCCACAGTACAGCTGGAATCCCAAGCATGAGAAGTCAGCAGAAATCAATGCAAGTTTAACTATTGATTCTGGGAGAACAATTAGACAAGCAATGAGTCTCTAACAGTTTGAAAACTCCTCAGGAAAGGCTCAAGTACTCTGAGCAGAAAACCAATTCTTTCTGCCTTGTGACTCAGTCCTAAGTGACCAAACTCTCCATCCATGCCCTCCTTCCCCACATTGTCTCCTCAAAACCTTCCTGGGCTGCTCCAGTGCTACACAGTCATGATGCTCTGAGGTTCACACCATGCTTGTCAGCCAGGACACCCCAAAGTGTCCCTATTGATTTCAAAGCCACCACACAAGGCCACTGTGGGATGGGATCTCTACCACCACTGAACTCAGCTGTATAAACATTCCTTGTGTTCAAAAGTAATTAGAGAAGTTTGACAGACTAACACCATTCCTTAGAAAACAAGCTAGAAATGACAGCCAAAAGATGTGTAAAGCCGTTTCAATTTCTTCCCCTTTCCTGCAAACCAGAACACTGATAACTGATAACAACAACAAAAAAAATTGCATTAAAAAGAAAGTTATTTTTTCCAGCTGCGTGCAGTTTTTTGGTCTGTATAGCATCTGTACCCACTAGCATGAAGCAGGAGACTGCAGCTACTTCCTTGCAGAGAAGCAGAGCCTGTCTCTCAGTGCCGGGAATGCACTGGCTTGCCTGGGCCCTCAGCTGGCACAGGCTGGATCCCTTCCTGCAAGCCTGAACTATGCAAACACAGGACTGGCCCACACAAGTAAGCCCCCTGACAACTTGTTACAGTTCTCTGCATTTCCCTGCAATAACATATTTCAATTTCTCCTAAAATTCAAGCCAGGACTTCCAAATCAGACCTCAAATTAAGGAGAGCATCACCCTCCTTTCTCTTGCTTTCTGTTTCCTGGGAGGTATTCTGAGTTCTGACCTCAACAGTTTCACCTAACAAGAATGAAGTGAATTTTGTGCAAGCTGCAGAAGTACAAAGGCAAAGCATTATGCAGGTTTTCTGTGAAGCAGAGCAGCAAGAGGTGAGAAATTTAGAATCAAGTAGCAGTTGGGGATCCTCACTCACAACTGCAAGAAGAGCTGTGCATTGACAATCAGAAAAGCAAAGGGACTTATCTCAAATCACTGATGAAAATGGTCTGCTTATCAGATTTCTCATAGTTGGAATCTCCTGTGTTCTTTGGACCCTGAGAAAGAGAACATTAAGAAAATGTTGTGGTGAGCATCTGACTTGTATGGTTTGAATGTAAATGTAGTTCTCGGTTTAGAAGGTCTTAGGTGGGTTTTTCAAAATCAAAAAGATATTGATAAACTGAAGAAATTTTCTTAAGGGAAAAAAAATCTATAAATATTTAAACGTGTAAAAGCTATCAAGTAAAAAGGACATAACTAGAAATAATAGAAAGAAAAAGCTTAAGCTCAGCAGAGTATCAGGATAGTCTTCCTGACAGCAAGATGTATCAGCCTGTGAAATAGTCTCCCAAGGAGAGATATGGAAGTTTTCACTTGAGATTTTAAAAACTAAAGTTGACATAACATTAAAAAATGTTCTCAATGAAATAATTCTACACTGGCAAAAAAGCAGACAGGATGATCTATTATGTCTTTTCTAAGTTTTGTCAGGCTTTGATGCTTTAGGAACCTATCTTGAACAGCCAAAGGTTATCAGAAAGGAGCTTCTTCAATTAATATGATGAACAACAAGATTACAAAGGTGATCACTGTGGAAGCCTATTATAAAGCATCTCTCTAAATACTAAAAAGGAGATGCTTTTCAGACATTGGAAGTATTACTCCAGACTTGACAAATATAACCTCAATCCACTTGCCTTCAAATATATGCTTAGTTTTAAGTATGTCCTTATTTCCCATTAATTTAAAGAAACACAAACCCATGTCTGAATTGAACTTAAAAGAAACAGGCTTCTCAAGAGTCTTTGGAAAATTTCATACTCTCTACACAGACTTGGGAAATGCTATGAGTAAGCAGATTTAAGCAAACAATACTATTTGGTAGACATGTATGTTAACACCTTTCACGTCTCCACTGACCTGTTCTGCACGTCCATCTGAAACTGTTCTGTCTTACCACACATTGGCATATCATCACCAATATCAATATTTAGCACATACTTTAGCACATATTTCATTCACTGCTCCAAGATCACTGAAAAATAGTTAAACAGAGCCATGGAAATAATGAATTGCTGAGTTATGGTTGAGAATGAAAATAAAGAAAAAGTGGTCAGTAAATATAACCTACAATAATTTTTGTCTTGCCAACAACTTATTAAACACTCACATACAAAATAGTTGTAAACTATTTCCTTAGGAACATTACTGGGGGTAAATCAGGGCTGATTCAGAAGGAACTCTCCATTTGTGTGCTTTAAATAACAACATGCTATTCGTATACATAAAAAACATCCATCCTCTATATCCATAGACATGCAATATACACCTTAAGAATAAAAATATCAACTATCTTTTCATCCAGAAAGTTGCATTTGCAAATAATAAGTGATTCTACAGCACAGGTGTCCCTCACTCTCTCATCATACTTTAAGTCCTTCACCCACTTCCACTAGGACTTTATCCCAAAATAACTCCCCAGTTTGACAGAAACACAAAACATCTTCCCCATCACTCACAAGAGTTTCTTGTAAGAAGAGAGAGTGGGGAGGAGAAGAATTAGCTCATGGTCCACTCTCCTGTCCATCCCACTGCTCCTTGGGCAGCCCAATACCCCACCACCCCACAGGGACCACTGCTCCCTTTCCTCCCTCCACCTGGACCCTTCCTACCTTTTCTCCCTAAAACCTTTTATTTTTCTCTCTTATTATAAGACTTTTCCCAAGCATTATTACTATTATTGTCTGAGTTTTACAGCTGGCACATCATCCCCTGCTGCACTAAATCAACACTTGTGAAAGCAGCAGCCTTGGAGTGACTGAGCAGAGCTGCTGCTTGCAGAAGTGTCAATTTGGTGCAGCAGGGGATGGGGTCGCAGCTGCCAGAGAAGAGAGGCCCTATTTTATGCCTCAAAATGATAAAAATGTCAGAGGGGAGGGAAATCTGTACAAAATATAAAAAGGATGTAGAACAAAGAAATGAAAGAAGAGGGGGAAAGGGTTCAAAAGAATGAAGGAAGAGGAAAATGACACTGTACAATAGAACAAAATCACTGGTGAATAAGATACAGGATTTTTGTAAGTAGGCACTTTCAAGTTAAAAACAAGTCATATGCATAACATAAAATATAAACCTGATGATGTTACCCTTCTGCTTTGGGGGGGGGGGGGGGGGGGGGGGATCTCTGGCTCATTAAACTGAAATTATTGTCTTAACTACATCTGTGATAGGTTAGGAAATGCTTCCAAGCACAAATACTGGGCATAAAAAGATTATTGCACAGAGAGCTTGATTTTAAGTGGAAATTTAAAGTAGAAGACTGAAAATCCTGCATTCAGAAATTTCAATCAGCAAAAGTGAACAGAAATTCCATGTTCTGGAGTAAACTTGGGCATCTCTGATCTATCACTGTTTAGAGGCTCCCATTTGAAAGTAGTTACCTATTATTTTGTATGCTTAAAGGAAAATAAACCAAAAGAAAGTGTAGATCCAAAAGAAGTCCCAATTTTTCCTTTACACACTTATTTATAAGTGAATCTAATGCATATTTCAAATACCATTATCACTAATGGTTTGCTTTTAAGGATTTCCTTTGTTTCTTCTAACCTTTCTTTGGGAGCTGCCACTTTACTCTCTATTAATTTTCCAGTGTGTACTTGCAGTAAGGAAAAATAATTGGGCTACACAGCTTAAACACTTTGCCCTGTTAAGAAAAATAAAAAAAGCAAGTAAGGACACTATTTATCTATTTCCCCAGAAAAGTGAATCCACCTTCCCTGCACTGCTGCTGTGATTTGACAGACCATGGCATCCCAGGTAGAGTGGAGAGGATCCCTGAAAAACCAGTGCTCTGCTGCAGAATTGTCTCATTCAAGGCTCACAGCCTCTCAGCTGCACGTTATCATTTGCAGAATTTTTTGCATCCATGAATATTGAAAGTTGCTGCTGGGTCAGTCCTTGGCACAGAGAAGGCCTGGAAGAGCAGAGGTCCCATCTTGCCTCAGCAGTTTATTGAGAACCCCAACCAGCTCAGCTTAGTTGAAATGCTGTGCTCAGAAATCCATCCTGCTCCCTTTTGAGGCAATAGCAAATCTCCCTTTAGTCTCCAAAATTTGCCCCTGTAGGTCACCTTACGTTAAAAAAAAAAAAAAAAAACCACCACAGATACATGAAAGGAATGAAGAGTGTTCTTTCTGTAACTGGTCTTGGAATATAACATTAGCCATTTTTCAAAGACTTTTTGGAAGGAGCATATTTACAGGACAGATTTCAAATGTGGTCTCAAAACTCAAACACTTTATCACAAGAATTCATTACTCCCCTTTTGTCCACTTCATTTTGCAAAGTAAATTGTACAGCCCTTCAGCTCCTATCACTATTCTGTTGCCCATCTGGCAGTCATCACTCTTTATTGATACTTATGTTTGACTTCATGCTCATAAATCTTGAAAAGATACAACCATTCCTTTCTTCACAATTTGTCAAATTTAAACACAAATATTAAAAAGGGCCCCAAAACCCTCCAGCTTCCAACTACATCAATATTGAAGCCAATATTCAACAATGACTACTAGGTTAGGTATGTGGCATTGTTTTTCTCTAGTGATTAGACTAACAATACAAATAGCACACTAATTATTAAATTAAAACCTCCTCTCTTCAGTTGATAGAGCCGTTAGGTGTTAAAAAAGCCACATTTGGGTTCTAGCAAGATTAACACTGTCATCTATGGTACATTTTATCAACATATTGATCTATCAGTCCAATTGTACAGCATTCTTCAGGCTTGTTCTAACCTTATCCAAAAAGACCTCACAGATAAAGCACAGCTGTTAAATGAGTTACAGCTCAGCCTATATAAAACATGATATGCAAAAATAAGAGCAAAAGATGCATGATAGGCAGGTCATCAACTCAAATACTGCTCTAAACCTACTCCTTGCAGCAATACGAATGTAATTGTAAATTTCTTCATGAACAAATTTAAAGGTAGAACAGTGACATTAAGCAAATTAATAATTATCAAACAGATCTGTGCCCTTTTCATTTACCTTCTTCAGCTGGTAGGTGTTCATTCAGTTCATTGTGTACATCAAATTACAAGAATGCCTCAGACCATCTTCAGAAAGTGTTTGCACAGTATGAACAGTGGGATTACCAAAGACAGAGAGCTATTCTCCTGCCAAATTCCTGTCTTTTACAAGATCTACAGTGTTTCCATGCTTCCTGCAGTAAGAACTCCTCAGTTACTCCTCAGCCTTAAATGTTCTTCCCAGTTATTAAAAAAAAAAAAGGAGGGGGAAGGGAGAAAGAAACATTTTATTTTGATCTTTACATAAATCACCTATTTAATGTAAACACATATAGAGTGTAAAGCCCAAGTTCTGTAAAAATGGGCCTAATTTTCTACTGTCATTAATTCTTTCTCCTTGTTTTCCTTCCCTTAAACTATAGACAAAATACCATTGCCAATGCAGCAGCAAGAGTCAATTCAACTATTCCTGGTCCCCTAGGCTTGAAGTTTTGTTCTAGAGCTGCTCTCGCACTGTATCACTCTAAATTAACAGACAAGAAATTTTCATAGTGCTGAAAATGAACCATGGTTAAAACAAGGACTCAAAAACTTCAGTAATCCCTGCTTTGGATGGTGTGCAATAATAACTGCTCTGTCAAAACCTCCTGTCCTGTAAATAGTGTTTGGTCCCTGGCTTACATAGGTGACAAACATCAGTTTCACTTATCATGACAAACAACAGCTGCTAGTCATGGTGTTTATGGCACACTGATGTCATACTGGTGGGCACAGCTTAACACAATCCAAACAGAGCAGAAGAAAACCTCATTCTGGGCTTTGGGCAAAATCAGTGTGTCCTGCTAATAGAATAGATCAAGACAATACAGCTGAGGTAATAATATGCTGTGTGACAGCAGTTCCCACAGCTGCTAATGCTGCCATGGCAGAACTTATGGCCTGCCTTCTACAAGTCTTTATTCACACAAAAAACCAGTAGCAAGAAGCCTACAAGTAAATTTTCCTCTATTACAAAAACTAAATAAATACATTCAAAAAATATTTATAAATCCAAATGTTTGTAACACTGGTTGAATTTCAAAAGTTCTTGAAGTAACTGATTTTTTAAAAGTCAGAATTTATAGCCTTAAGGACTGAAATGAGCAGGTACTATAAATAGCCTAAAATTGGATACATATAGCCAAGAGTACTGTATTCACAGTTACAGGACTATCACAGTGCATTTCCACACTTGGGATTTAACTTCTAAGGACTGACATGGCTTACTGGGAGGGCAGTAAGACTTTGGAGGACACCTAGAGACAGGGATGCTGGGCAGAGGACACCAGCAAAGGACCACCTGAAGCTGTGTCCATCCCACAGCCCCTTCCTGCCCATCCCATCGCCATACTGCTCTCTGCTCCCAGACCCATCAGCACAGCTGCTCTCCAGAGCAGGACAGGGTCTGACCTGCCTTTAAACCAAAACCAGAGAGGTTTTATCAGCTCCTGCTCCCAGCCCAAACCCATGGCAGGGCACAGCCAGCTGCAATGGCCTCAGATGCTGTTTGGTTCCCATACACACTACTAGGTTCTCTCTAAAATGCTCTCAAGCACGAGGGGGAAAAACATTACCATCAATTAATTCTTAGCATAATGACGGATTGTGGAAGTGGAGCAAATATTTATTTTCTGACAGGTGTGTTGCTGTGGAAACAGCAGCAGACGCCGTGTGCTCCGAGGGCCGTGCGGAGGCTCAGATGCCCCGTGCCCCGGGATAGGAGCTGCCACAGCCTGCCGGGCAGGACAGCAGCACCAACGCCCAAAAACCACTGCAATTTACGCTCGAGCAGCCCTGACCTACTTTGTAAGTAGCAAGTTATCCGATTAATTTGCTCGAAATAGCAGATCATTCTGTGTGAAGTGATGAAAAACAAAATCCATCATTTCCACTGCAGGAGAACAACCAAAATGAGACAACTGCACGCCTGTCACTGCGGCTGCAGTTTCTTCTCTGGGGTAACAAACAGATGACCTGCCGGTCTCTGGTTACACGTGTGAGACGAGAACTGAAGCCAGCCCCTCTCTGCAAGCTGAGGGAGAGGCTGAGGTGCTGCCCAAGGCACCCCACCCTGCAGCTGGCAGCACCAAGCTGAGCACCCTCACCCATGCACAGCCCCGCAGGAGTCCCCTCACCGAGGGCATCTACAGCAACATTTGGTGACTTGCAACAGGGAAGTTCAGCCGCATTTTGGTTACTAGTCAGCCTACAAGTGGTTTTCTCCTCAAAGCTTATTTGTCCTTCTAAAGGACATATGCATAGACTTGCAAAAAGCAAACAAGAAAATGTAATTAATACTAACGCTATGACTTTTTTGTTTTGCTCTTAATAAATCGCTCCTTGATCTTTTATGCATGATTAATTTTTTTTTTTTGCCTCCATAAATGCAATTAATTTTGTTTTGAGGTTTATATTACGTCTGTATTAAACACAGCGCATACATACATGAGCATGTTCAACTAGTATTCAGATGGAGGCATAGGAGAATTCCTCTAAAAAAATATCAATATTTCAGTCCAATTATAACAGAAACCAAATCTTCAAACATTGGAGTACAATGTAGCTACCCTAGAGAATAGATATTTGGTTTTCTGACCAGCAGTAAGTTTGTAATTGAACAGCTGCAGAAAAGAGAGGAAACAAACATACAGCACATTAGTTTTCAAGCCTAATCTTCACAGAAATTTTTTACTGTATTGTGCTTTCGATCACAACATGATAAACAGAGTTCCTCCCTTCGTTCTCTGTTCTTCTGCAAAACAAATTAGAGTGGTCTATAGAAGCTTAACCTATTGTATTGCATAATCCCTCACTCACAGAAGCAAATTAGGCAGAGTAGCTCAAGAACTGAATCTATTCACGACTCTAAGGAGTGTCAGATTCCAAGCAGTAATTAATTTACAATCCCTTTTCAAAAAATTTTTACTATATTTAGCTTAAAACTGGTAACTTTTCTTGTAACTTTTGGTTGGTTTGGATTTTTTAAGTGCCCCTGTCATTGTTAGCATTGCAAACAAGGTATCAATCAAAAGGACAAGGCAAAATTTTAATCATACTTATTTTAAAAGTGCAAAGACTGTTTCTAGATTTTCAGAGAGAATGGAGGAATGCATAATAAAATACGAATTTAATTCATATATGTGTATCTGCACCTATTTATATTGATATAATCTACTGCTGAAGTCATAAATGTTTAAATCCATCGACTGCATTTGTTCATTTCCCATTTTCAGGAAAAAAAGAAAAACAAGGTTCTTTACCACAGTACAAAGAAAAATGCTCTAATACCAAAAGATCCAATTAAAATAATAGGGCCATTTGTTTCAGTAGGATTTCACACATACTAGAGAAATGCTAACCCTTGGGAGAATGTTCTCAGCTCATTTAACAATATATGTTTCCTCTGATATGAAAACTTTAGCTTTTGCATTATAACATCATTGCTAACAAGGCACACGTATATATCTCATAAGTAGATGGAAACACAAATGTGGGAGGAATTATAATAGTTCTTTATCCATACTGCACTCCTCTCAGGATTGACTTGCATCTGTTGTTTACTCACCTGGGTAGCTTTTTCCTCTCCACACATTTAAAACACACACTCAGAAAAGGCTTGGTTCTCTGAAAGACAAGAAGATGGTAAGTAAAAAAACTATGAAGGGAATCAAAGGAAGAATTTGTATCCCGGTTCCAGGGCTACCAAAACATTTCAGAAGGCAGCTGGCATACAGATTTTTCCACCAGCTAAAAGAACACCAATCTGCCTGCTCGCAGAGCACAGTGTATTTGGGGACACCTTGGGCAGGGGCTGGGCAGGGCTGCACAGGTGCCAGTAGCTCCTGGGCCTCTGTCAGCAGCCAGGGACAGCAGCAAACCTGAAATCTGCAACCCAGGAGGTGAAGCTCTTACCCAGGCAGTCTTAATGGCAGTGAAATAGAAAAGCTAAAATGACTTAATGGTCATTAGAAGTTTACTTCCCATTTTTGTGTACCTGAAAGAAAACTCTGATTGAAGATGAGCTTTTTATTTTTTAACTGGTTTTATGAATCAGTTAAAGATAGTCAGGACTAGTATCTGATGTCACTGAACAATTTCTAACACCTGGATATTTTAACATTGCAATAAATTCACATTCCAAATTTTCCTGTTTATACCAGCATTAAATTTTCTCCATCTGTAAGAGAAAGTTCAAATTTGACCAGTGAAGCCATTAATGAGGGAAGATTTATTTTTGTAGATCATTTTCCACTATCAGCACACAAATATTCCTACCTAACCACGAGGACAAATGTAAAACCTAGATCTGAAACATCAAATCCCTAAAAGAATTTAGGCAATAATCTCAAATTATAGATACAGTCCTACAGTCAAAATGTCAAAATTATGTCCAACCAATTCAGGATTGAAACATGAATGATGCAATTAGGAATTTCATAAAGCCTACATAAGGGACAGCTCTCTAGGAAAAAGCTGGTCTCCAAGTACTTTTTTTTCTGCAATACAGTACTTGTAAGTCTAGAGCTAAAACTTGCACATGCCTTGTATATTTGATTGACTCCATAAGGTTTTCATCTAAATTCAAAATATAACTGTGTTTAGATATATTTGAACATTTTATTGCATTTAGTTATGAGAGATGAATTTTTCCTGAGAGAACCTAGGGCACATAACATTGTGAGATCATTCCAAACAAGTTAATTCTGAAATGGGCTTGAATCAATAACACAAAACAGGCGGTAAAGCCAATTTTTACGGTAGTCATGGTTTCATAAAATAATATCAAGACAGTCAGATTGTAAGCTCCCTGCATCTCAAATATAATTTGCTACCAACTCTAAGCACAAAGAGGAAATAGATAGGTGGAAGACATAGATAAAAACAAATGATAGATAGATGAAACAAAAGGAACTGGAGGTAAAGAAAGAACGCAGAGTAGTTGCCATTCAACACAGCGTGAAAAAAAGCCAAACAAGTGCAGCATGTAAGTAATTCAAGGGAAATAGAATGCTTTTCTTTCATTTAGGCTTTAAATTGTTATGAAAAGCCTCTTTTTCACTCTATCTGTAAGACATAGGCAGACAGGGAATGAATATATAAATATGTCACTGCAATACGTGGCTTTTAATGAAAATGGATTTTTAATGATCCCAAAAGCTACATTTCTCTCTGACTTGCTCCATTTCCAGACTATCAGCATGAAGTATGCACAGCAAATGCACTGGTTTTGCATGTCCTTCACTAAATCCCAGGACAGCCAAGCGTCCAAGGGCTGTACAAACCAGAGCTGCCATTATGCAGAGCAGATACAGAGAAGCGGCACGTCCTTCAGTGCTTTCATTGAACTTTCAGAGCTCCGTGACACCGCTGTGCCTTCTCCCACAGCAGACCCCAGTGTGGGTTACCTTGCACTCCATATGCATAAATAAAGGATGATGCATGGCAATGCGCCTTGCTGTTGTTCTCTGCCTCAAGGACACTTGTTCGAAGTGTGCCATTCCTCCCACTCCCCCACGCAGGCTCATTGTGTTCAAGTGCTCCATGTAAAACTCTGAACACATGAATACGAGAGGATTTAGTTCACAAATGAAGAGAAGTCACAAGGAGGAGAGAGGCTGATGCAATCCATAGCCTTCTTGTTATCTGAACACAGTGAATTCTTTTTTCCAATGTCAAAGTTACCCTTTCAGTCAGTAATAAACAAAAAACACACTGAATAATGTGCAAAAAAATGTACCAGCTAGTATAAATATCATTTTTCTTGTTTTTTCATGTAGACAATTTTTTTTGTTTTAGATTTTAGTATCATCATAGAATAAAGGAACATTTTCCTTACTTTATCACCATCCATGAAGTTTTATCTACAAATATTTCTTGTAAGGCAGGTCCATAGGTTAGGAAACTCTAATATAGTTGTCATAAAACCAAGACAGCATTTAAAAGGGGCTTGGACTCCTGTATTCACTTCATGTCCAATACTTCAAGGTAAGCTTTGTGAAACCTATGTTACTTGGACAAAAAACATCTCCATATTTATTTCCTGTGTTATCATTTTTGCTTCTTTGAAATAATAGAAGACAGAAGGAATCAAAAAATAGAAGACTGATGAAAAAGATAATGACTGAGAGGTGCCACAAAATTGGTTAACAAATGCTCCTATCCATTAATGAGTCAGAGGGCACAGCCTTATGAAGGGCCCCACAGAATCACAGAATCAACAGTTTACATCACCTAACAAACAGACAACAAAAAAAGGCCCCCATAATCCCCATTTTCTGGGCACTTTCAAATTCATCCATTTTTCCATTTTGTCTGCTCTTCTGACTCAGAGTGCCTTCCAATTAATATTTATCAAATGTCTCTCCCTTATTCATTTAAATCAGTTCAAAAACTGCACCTGTTTCATGAGACCTATGTGTGCTTCTGACAGCTGATATTTGAGAAAAAACAAAGATAACTTAAAAATCCTAACTAACTACATTAAAATGTAATCAAGAAAGAGAGTACTAAGATTAGCTCTGCCAGCACAAGACATCAGCAAGGCACGTGGGGGTACCCAAGGATACAGGTGGATAAATATGTGGTGCACAGCCTGGGAAGGACCCCACACATCTCATGCCATCAAATGGGGCTGAAATTCAGCAACAGCACACAACAGTTACTGAGTGCCCTGGAGACACCATATTCACCTCTTTCCTCTAGAAAATAAGGTGAAAAAATCCTTGCAAGAGTGCCACAAAACAAAACAACAACAAAATCAAGCTGCATACTCAAAGCCAGGGTTCATTTTAAACAATATAGCGTGGGAAGAAATTAGAAAACAAGAAACAGCCACTGTGAACAACAGCCAGAGGAGGCTATCAAAGCCAAGGCACAGACAGCTACAGTCATTTGCCAATGTACAGATTCACTCCAAGGTCCACTTAAAGCTATCACTACTTCTACAGAGCACAGGCAAGGAACCAGATTTGCCCTGAAAGGCTATACAGGACTCTTTTACATACACTTTTGCTAATACACAACAAAGTACTATATACAGCACTTTTGTGCTTCATTTTAGCAGTTCTCTTGCATTATCTAGATGAGAGACAATTGCACAATGACAGGTAAATCTTGTTAGAAAGCATCCTAAATTACAGGGAAGATCTTGCCTCTAAAATACACAGAAAAGATCACAAGTCTATGTTGTGCATGCTGAGGCATTCTGCCTGGGATTCTTTAAAGGTAATTTGGTGAGGAAGAGGCTTGCAGCTTTTTGGGGCAGTTTCCTTCAGTACTGCCAAATTTCAAATTACTTTTCTTTTCCTGACAGCTGTTAAGGAACTGGAGTTACTGGAGCAGATTACCAGCCATAGGACTGTCTTCTATGGCAGTCAGCACGGTCCCAAGCCCACAGGATGGAGGATGAGTTTGGTGGATGTGTCCAGCTGCTGGTCCAAACCCAGGGACTGTGACGTGACCCTGAATGTTTGGGGTTTGTGCACATTTCTGCATTATTTCAGAGATCCCTCCATTCCAGAGTACCCTTAACAAGGTCTAGGTCACTTCTGTACCACAGCTCATACAAATTAACTTCTTACATATTTCTGTCAAGCTAATGGACAAAATTCAAAGAATGTACAACCTTAAAGACATTTTAATGTGTTATTTTCCACTGCCTTATTTAAATGGGATCATTTTTTTAAAGCAACGTCTTATATCCTTAAGTCATATTTGTTAATTCCATATTAAAATGCACCCCCTTTCTCACTAATAGAGTGTTTTAAATTATGCTCACACATTTTTAAATTCCTACTCACTATTAATCAAAGCCATAATTCTCATAAACTTAAGCACAGGTTTCATTCCAAATGCAGACAGTTCCCATATTCTAGATGTTTTACACGTATTTCAGAGAATGCAAGTTAAACAATATTTAATCAGTCTAAGATTAAAGTTTATTTCCACTGACTTGAACTACTTTTGAATGTGAAAGACCCAACAGTTATCTCAGTGGTGACTAGCTCAGTCTTTTTGCAGTCTCAGATATGCTACTGACATCCACGTGCCCAAATGTAAAGGAATGCCAGCAATTTCAAATGAAATCAGGTTTATTAGTTAGATGTTACTACCAGTGTTAATGCAGCTCTTCAATGGCCAAACTCATTTTGAAAAATCTCCTTTTTAAGAAGCATTTTCAAAATGCTTCTTATTCCCCTGTTGCTGAGAAAACTTGGCTGTGTCTATAAACTCTCTTATTAAATGTTTTCAGAGCTAAGCAAGGTAGCAAAAAGAAAACTCTTCCTCCTACCTTTCATCTATAATTGACTTTGAAATTATGCAAATACATTGGCTGTACATTTGGGCATTTTTGAAAAAGAATATTTCGACAATAACATGAATTAAAGTTTTTTTGCAATCTTTAAAACACTGCTCTCATAAATATATGTAAAAACAGTCTCATTTAAGTCCTGGAAAGATGCAGTGCAACCTGCCTGAATAGCACTTTTAGGGAAATACAGATGAGGTTCTGCATTTCCAGTTGCAATCAGACAGAAAGCTTCATAATCATAATTCAAAGAATCCTTACTAGTTCTTGCAGGTTTCTTAATACTTTGTTAAGAGGTTAACACAGTAGAAGTTAGATGCATAAATAAGATATTTTTGTTACAATCTAACAAAATCACAACTGTAACCATAATTCATTTTTTTTAATAATCTTAGTTCTCCAAGACTTCTGATCCTAATGGGGCAATCATGCATCACTGCTGTGTTCCAACAGAACTATCAGGCTCTGTGCTGTGCTAGTGTAATTGCAATCTAATGGTTTACACTATCATAATGGTACTAAATATTTTACTAAACAAAGTACAATATCTAAAAAGTTATTTGAATTGTTCCAGCTTTAAGATTGTACATCAAAGAAAGAACAGTTCCTTTCTTTTTGAATTGAGAACAACAAAGATGTCAAAACTAGCTTCTTGTTTCTCCTAATAAAGTGCTAAAAACATAACATTAGAAGCAGAGTTTTAAAATTAGAGCAAAAAATTACTTCATATAAAATGAAAAATATTAAAATATTTTTAGGCATTTGGATGCTCTGCTTCAGCAGTGTGGCACAGCTTAGCAAAGAGACACTCTATTCAGAGTCTATGTGGGATTTTTAAATCAGAATTTCTGATTATTTACTTTAACAAAACCTTTAATAAGAATCCCACTCTGTGCAAGTGTAGCAAATCATAAACTAAGCACGAGGTACCACACTGATGGTGCAGCTGTGCTCAGTGAGAGCAGCAGAGCCCAGCAGAGCCCCCTCCCCAGGCTGCGCCCGACAGGAGCAGGGTGACCTGCCAGCACCTCAGCACATTCCGACTCACAAAATAACTCCAGGAGCCGAGTCAGACTAATTCTGTAAGGAGGGACAATCAAACAGGCAAGGATTTGTCAATCCTGCCATTAACACACTGGAGTAGCCCCAGTTGCACCCTGCAACGTGCTGCTTTACTGCCTTGGACAAAGCCAAAAATATCTATAACTCCAAAAGGGGCACTGAAGTTAGTACTAAAAGTGCTCAAAGCTTCTAAGATTGCCTCCAGGACTCCTGATATTGATTTTTAAAGATCTACTTTGCCTAAAGCTAATTTACTCTTAATTCAATTCACTATTTTTATTTAAAAAACCCTTATTTTTTTTTACTTCCAGCTAAAGTATTCATTTACAGTGTTTTTCAAACACTGTTTTCTTGGAAAATATTTTCTTTTTCCCAAAAATCAGGACTTTTTTCAGAAAAGGTTTTTTGAATTTGGACTAGGACACCAGGGGTTTTTTTTTCAAAATTTTGTTTACTACTAGTATTTTCTACAACACTGGTCTGCTTAAAAAAAAAAAAGAGCAAAAACATGTTTGTACTATCTAGAGAACATTTTGTACAGCTCATAACTCCATGTTTTAGGAACTGTCAAGATCTAGACCACTTTGTACCTAGAGAATAAATTAGTTCTTTTAAAACAGAATAAAATAAAACTTGTCTTTTATCTGGCACAGGAACTTTTTCAAAAACGTGAAATATAGTGAATTCAGTAATTTGTCAGTAAATAATCTTTGAGCATGTACCAAGGTACTAATACCAAGAACTAATTATTTCCCATCCTGTAAGTGAGCAGCTGTAACTTTCTAACATTGATGATGCATTCTCTTTCTAGCCATGATCTGCTCAAGTGTAGAGGCACCTCTCCAGCAAGCACTCCTAAAGGACTCAATATCTGCACTATGTTTAAAAAACAAAAAAACAACCAAAAAAAAAAAATTTAAAGAAATAAAAAAAAACCCAACAACAACAACCCAGGCATTTGTTAAGGAAAAATGCTACTTACTTAAACCAAACTGCTCCAGTAAAATTATCCAATTTTGCCAAAAAGCATTGAAAATGCACTTTGGGCTTTTATTTCTCATTTAAATTAGGAAATATTTCAAAAAAATACAGATAACAAAAAAACCCAAGTAGAAAATCTGTTTCTTAAAGATCTTTAAGATTTATTGATACAGTATATACACTTAACTTATTACTCTTAGATAACTACCTAACACAATATTCTACTTACACAGAGAGGTTTAATTTTAATTTACAGTTTAATTGTCCTACTTAAAGTAAGCCTGTCACCTGTGTCACTTGGTGGCTCATAACTGTAATCCTCATTTAATTATTTACTTCAAGGGAGCATTTTAATTATAGACATTACTCTGTGTGTGTAGAGTAACTCGCACTGGAGGGCAGTGACAATTTGTACAGCAGAGTGCTCACCTGAATTTCCAGTGGCCACAACTCCACGTGAAGCAGCGGCTCAGCTGCAGAGCCCACCTAGACTGCTGAGAGATGCTGCTCTTCCCTTCCCTGGCCTAGGACCACATTTGGGGAGCCTGAGAACAGGCAGGGCCACCAGGGCACAAAGAGCTTGGATTACTACTGCAAGGCTCCGAGCTGAAATAGAAATGAGACAATAATAGCTTCTCACATCCACACTTGACCCTGCAAATCACCCTTGGACATGGGAGGGGGCACACAGCACCGGCTCCGGGGTGAGGTCACCACTGTGCCCCATTCCTGTGGGGATCACTAATGGAGTGACAGAGCATGAACTTGCCTCTGATTCATTTCCTGAAATTTCAGCAACCAGTGATTTATGCGTTTCCTAAGATCAGGCCACCTATCAGCTTCTTTTTTAATAGCCATCAGTTGACCAATATTCTATGAAATTATCTAGTATCTATGCAAACTAGGTATATTTTTAGCTTTCAAAGGATCACATTGCAACAAACTCCATCATTAAAAAAAAAAAAAGAAGAGAAAAAAGAATAGAAAAAAACATTGCTTTGTGTTTGCTACAAATTTGCAGGTTTGTTGGCTATTGCTGGGTCATCTTCACAGTAATTTTAACTTCCAAGGCAGACATTTCATCATCACACAAGTGGCACTATGCAACTTCCCTGCTCTGGACCAAGCAATATTTTTCATTGTCTGAAGCCCCAAGAGGCAGCTTTGTAAAACTTAAAGTATTATCAGTTTTTTATATTTGGCACAATAGAATGCATTTCTCTGCAGGTACACCCAACCAGAAGGGGTGGTAAGGGATGCCTTGTCCCCAGGCTTGCCAGCAGGTGACTTGGGCTCTCTGCCTGGGGCAGATAGGGACAAGGGGCTGCCCAGCCTCCTGTTCTACACACTGAAAAGACGTGCCCAGGTTTTGCAGAAGTCCCTTTTTTACCATTAAAACACTTCCAGGATTTGTGGTGTTCCTGATTTACTGTTCAGCACTCCTGACTCACATGTCTTGCTTAATGCCCAGGCAGCCCCATGGGCAGTCAGGGGTGTTCCCAGCTGAGATCCTGCCCTCTTGGAGAAGCTCCTTCTGCCAACTTCCTCCTACCCAGGAGGAGACACCAAAGCACTGCGTCCCTGCCAGGAGACAAGGAGAGTGCTGGTGGGATTTCCGAGGGGCACAGCTCTCCAGCACATCCAGCAGTACAGAAGGGGGACATTGGGCACATGGGAACTGCAGGCCACCTGGTCCTGGGGTAAGTGCCTCTCACAGCAGTCACTTCATTATTAACAACCTCCATATCTTCATAAGATGCTTATCTTTTTCAATAAGCAGAAACAGTTACTGAAGGTTTTGTTTGGTGCCTTTTTTTTTTATATTGGGATGAACCCAAAGATTGCTTTCTTTAGTATCTACCATTCTTCAGTGATTAATGTTTTTTCATGAGCAGTGTCATTACATACAATTTCTGTCATCTAGATTGTTCTATTTTATTCAGCAACCTAGAAAAAAATTCCTCTTTCTAAAGTAACCTTCAACCTACAATTTGTCTGCTGCTTCTTACAGTACCCTCAGCACAGCCATGGCCCCTAACAACTGAGGGCATTCAGCACGTTCCGGTACTGAGTATATCACATTTCCCATCTGAAATTGCTTACCTCATCAGTCACTAAGGGCCCAGTTTGGAAGTCATTAAAAATAATGAGAATCCTGGCACTTCTCCCAGCAATAATGGCATTGGATTCTGTGTTGCTTTTATACTTTAAGACATTTGTATATATCCACAAATCATTTAACTCTTATCTTTGTACTAGCTTTAATGAAACTAATGGCTGCTGAAACTGCGTGGGTTTTATTCTACTTTTTATTTAAATAATCTTCTGCCCACTCCATCATAAAACAACACAAACACTTACACAGCATATTGCATCACAAAAGCCCCAAAGTGTTTACCAGGATCACTATATCCACCACTAAAATGCAAGCACTTCTCAGTCAATAAACACTTCAGCTGACAATAAAGCCACAAGAGAGTTTTCAGAAGGAAAGCTGAAGAGCAAAAAATCCAATTTTCCCAAAATAAATTTAGAACCAGGGTCTTGCATTTTCATCTCCATCTGTATCTACTGTAGCCTTTCCCTCCTATGACCATGCAAAAAAAAAAAAAAAATCATCGAACTCCATATTAACTCACTAAGTACCAACATCACTCCTGCAGGGTCCACATCTTACAGGCTTTGACAGGATAATGAGCCCTCAGGAACATGCTCCAGGCCAGCACTAAATGCACCCTTAGTGTTTCAACTAATTGTTGGAAAACACATATTAATGCATATTAAAACCTTAGAAGATTCACTCTTAATAGTCAAGGTCTAGCTCAGGGTTAATGTAAATTTCTCATCACTACGCTCTTCCTGATAGAAACACATACAATTTACATGGTTTGAAATAAATAAGAACAATACAAATATGGAAAAAAATATCACCTTTTTTAAATGCGTGTTTATTTGCTCCAGGCATACATTTGAACTCTACATTAAAAACAGACCTGTCATGAGGACAAACACAAAAGTTACAGATCCAGCACTTCTGCATAGAAAGTGTGACATTTCAAACTCACAGAAATTAATAACAGCATATAAAATGACTCATACATTTTGATATCACCTGCTCACAGAGGAGGTGTCTCTAAGATGCAAAGGACTTGAACTCCAGTCACCCTGGAAGTCCATCCAGAGTGTGAAAAATCCAGAGATTCTGGACTGCTGCTGAAAGCTCTATCCTGTTAAAAATCAGTAGTTTACTGTGACTAAACAGACTGATTTACCTAGGTGGGAGCATAAAGAAAAGGTATGTGTAAGTCAAATAGCAATAATTCTAACCAATAATAAAACTCCAAGTACCAGAAGTAATAAAAAAGTTCCCCAATTGCTTCATAAGGTGAACTTTAAAGGTGTTTTGATGTTATTATCAGTATATGTGAAAATCTGAGAAACATTACCACTGCATAGAAGTTAATCTAAAAGCCCATTCTGTAAGGTTATTAAAAAAATCTTTTTAAGGCTGTTAAATGTTTAATACCTTTGCAAAGTATTTTCTTTGCATTTATTTCTAAGTGCTGGATAAGGTCTGCTTTTAGAACATGTAATCTCAAAATATTTTAAGCCGTGTTACAAATACTTTACCAAGCTACAAAAAAAATCAACAAGCCATCCTTAGCAGTAACTATCATTAGTTTGAGTTTTTTAATCTATTAGATCAAGGAATGAAATTACATCAAATTTGGTATATGATTATCAATCTAGTTTGAAATTATCTACTACCTATCACCTACACAACTACTAGTACAAGCTACACAATTTAAGCAATAGGTGCAAATGCTCAGGCATCATAAGTGATCCCACCATTTTAAAACATGAGAACATCCTTATGCAGCACAAATAAGGGAAGAAGAATGTCAAAATTGATTTGAAGATAATATTGAACATCAAAGACAAACAACATTGTGGCAATTTTATTAAAATAAAAATATGGTTTTTGAATATTTGGGGAAATTTTATATTCTATTTTCTCCTGCGGGGAATGGCAAAAGGAAGATAGTTTTCAGATACCAAAAGCCTGTCTATGGCTCATTATCCAATTAATTGATATGAATAAATTAGCTGAATCAAGCTAAATGACAGCTAGTTGCTCCACAAAAGCTAGTAGTATATCACAATAAGGGGCTTTCAGAGAATTAGATCAGTGCAGAGGTCTTTCCTTTTGAATCTTCAAAGCACATTAAAAGACATTTCTATCTTCACTTTCAGAAAAATAAGCATTTAAGAAAGGGATGGCAAGTTATTCATATTCAGAAACTCACTGAGAGATTACAGGTGTTACAGCAGCTGTGGAGAGTTTCATGGAAAAAGCACAGCAGAATTTTTTTCTTCCAGATCCTCTTCCACAAAATAGATAAGATCTCTCATACCCATTATCTCAGATGTCTCTCTATCTTCCTCAAGGAAAAAGGAGACAGCTTGGTAGCTCTGTTCTTCCATCCCCTCTTAGCACTGCACCTGCTGCACCCATTTGAAAACATCCTGCCATCCAAGGTGCTTCTTTTCACACCGAGACAGGAATGACACTAGGGACAGCTCAACCAATCTTGTTAGTCACTTATGAAAATTACATGGGATAACTGCTTTTTAAGGCCTTATAAGAACCCTGCTTTGACTTTGTGCAAATGTAGGAGAGTACAGGGGATGGCACAGGACTTAAACACAGCTGAACAACTAGGGAGAACTGAATCTGGATTCATTACATTGGGAGCAGAGTTAGAGATTTAGTGCCAGGTAATGCAGAAAAAAACAAACAACCCCCCTTCTGTTTGAATCTAAGCCTCAATTCTAACTAAAGAGCAGGGTTAAAATCTGATCTTAGGCAAAATAATCACGTAAAAGTTCTAACTAAACTCCTAAGCGTGAACTCTGCTGCAATGGGGAATACACACTCTCAGGCTGCACAGAAGCTTCCATTACATGAAAAAGAAAAAAGCACAGCTTTTCTTACCACTGAGATGCTTCTCACACTTTTTAATTTTAGAGATGGTTTGTTTTCCACTTTCCTCCCTCCTGTCACCTCAGAAAATGGCAGTTCAAGTGGACAATACAAGTAGAGGGGACATTTCTAATTCATCTCACTCCTCCCTCATTTTTGTTTTTCTGCTGTCATTTTATATGCATCGAAATGAGAATTTTGCCCAAGACACTGCCTGCATGAAAAAGTCTGTGTCACTCAGAGATTCTGAGCACCAGGTATTCATTGATGGCTTTCAAGTAGATCCTGAAGTGGCAGCCAAGAATTTACAGCTGAGGGAGCTGAGGCCGCTTAGTCAGGGGAAAAGGAGGCTGAGGAAGACCTTACTCTCTAAAACTGCCTGAAAAGAGGCTGCAGCAAGGTGGGGCCAGTCCTGGAAAAGAAGCAGTAGCATGAGAGGAAATGCCTCAATTTGCATCAGGTGAGATTCAGACTGGTTATTAGGGAAAAGTTCTTCACTGAAAGGGTTGCCAAGCACTGGAACAGGCTGCCCAAGGAAGCAGATGTGTCACCATCCCTGGAGGGATTTAAAAGGTGTGTAGATATAGCACTCAAGGACGTGGTTTAGTGGTGGTCTTGGTAGTGTTGGGTGAATAGTCAGACCATAGAGGACTTCTCCATCCTGATGGTTCTGTGATTCTGTCTTCCCAAAATATTGCACATCAGCAGAAAAAAAATCAAGCCTTTGGTTTTCACATCCAAATGTTAGTTAAGAAAGTGTTTGACCCTGGAGACATTTTCAGAAAATTAGTTCAGAGCCTTTGCACAATGTAATCAGAAGAAGTTTTAAACTCTGATTGTGCAATTAAACACAATATACTCTTGCAGCTGCCATTTATCACACTGCTACCATTTCAAGTAACCTGGTCAACAAAACTGTTTGGTACCTAGGAGTGAAGAAATGAGAAGGATAATGTTCTGTAGGAGAACGGGTCTATCCAACATTTTATAGTGCTAAAAATACCCTTGAAACTTGTTCTGATACCTTGTAATTATGCACTCATATCCTGATTTATGGTCCATGTCTCCCAGCCCAAAGCAGTATGCACTCTGTTTCACATCTTGCCCTATTTATGTGTAAAATACTCAAGTCTGGAATGTCATAAAAGAGAGGACAGGCTCATTGCACATGTTACTATCGATTTCATGTGAGCATAGGCATAATCTAATGATCCTTTTCAACTAAAGATAAATATGCACAATTTAGCCTTAAACATATTCAGTGTCAGATCATTTCAACTGCTGCCTTTGAGAAATATGCCTATGATGTTAAAGATGTCTGCTGTCCAGCCTCCTCCTTAAGACTGTAGAGAGCATGGCAAAGGAGACAAATTTGTCCAAACTGCAAATGGGACAAGAAACATTGTCAGCTGTGTATCAAGACACGTATCTGTTTCAGGCCAAACTTGTGAATTCATGTTCCACAACTTCCCCCGCTTCTCTCTAACTCCACACAACTCTGCTCTCTCACTGATCACCTACGTAATTAATGAAGAAAAGAGAATTCACCTTGTCCAAGTGAGTACTGGCAAAGAGAGATGTGGTTGATAGGAAAACTAATAAGCATTTTACCTGTAACAATTACTGGCAGTATCCTAACTATGAGGTATTTGCAGGTCCATTTCAAAAGAAGAAAGGACAACCTGGCTTAGACAAAGAGATCTGATTTTCATTCTCCAGGTCTGCTCTGAAACACACACAACCACTGGCACGTGGCTGAAATTCTCCCTTCGGAGATGGAGAGCAAAGGAGTCATCCAAGTGGGTGGTTTCATTTTCTTAGATTTGTGTTGGTTTGGGATCTTTTTTTTTCAATTTTCCACCAGTTTCAAAATAAGACAACACATGCAGATTTAATGTTGTGATGTGTTTCTGCCCACCTTCTACATGCTAATCTTTAAAAAAGGAAATGTGTAAGTGCAATGGAGTGGCCTTAGCTGCTGTCTGTACAAAGAAGAGCTGGAATCTGCATGTGCTAACAAGGGATGCAAAGACCATAGCAGGGAGAACGGTCTTCAAATTACTGTTACTAAAAATCGGACTACTTTTTTCTCCCTAACATATCTTAAATTTTGTTGACAGTTGGGTGCATATTTATTAACACCTCTTGCAGTAAGGAGAAGGTTTTGCAGTGCAATTATTTCCAAATAATTTTGAAAAAGGACTCAGTCAACATAAGGTTCAGTTTATCCATGAAATAAGCTCGTGTTTTGCTGACTTTTGCAAAAACAATATAACTTGTAGGCTGAATTCAAGCTTTATTTCATTTCACAACACAGCCTCAATTCTGTGTTTGTCAGTTCTGACAACTCTGTACCTGTTTCCTACTTGTATGGATACAATTAAATATGCACTAATGTACCAATAACAAACTTGCATTATTAACAATCACTGAAACATAATTTGCAATTCACAGAAAAGGCTCCAACCCAAACCTGAAAGGTACATAATATTATTTTTATTTATTTATTTTTGTATTAAACTACATCTGCTGCACATTGTTTATGCTCCTCTTAGTGGTAGTTCCACCAAGTTTTCTTGCATTACAATAGAACTATTTTTTCCAATTCAGATTCAAATATGTTTTTCAACTTTGTTCTGGAATTATTGGTGCATGAATTAAGATGTAGATCAAAAGAATATTTTTCCTCACACGCGCAGAAACTACAAAATTTGTGGAAAATGAGCGGCCTAGGGAAAGGTTTATGGAGTTCTCCTGCTTTTTCAGCAAGTTCCATAGATAGCTATGCAGTCAATTTTGTGACTAACCTAACCAAATAAAACCAAGTGACACTTGTATTTAATAATCTCTTTCAGGAACAATCTAATCTGCATACATCTCACTTTCCATACTTTAAACTTTTTTTTTTTTTAATCAAAGCAGATTTGCTTTTCATGACCTCTTTTATGAATCCTTTATAAAACAGTTCCACTACCCATGCTTATTAGCTTTTTCCTTCTCTATTTTCTTTCTCTTTTTTAAAGGGTATCTGCATTCCTTCCAAAATAATATCATTTTTCTTGTCACTCCACTAATTTTTTTAGTGTTCCCTATTTCAAAGGGCTCATATATTTAAACAAGTAAGGGCACTGGTGCACCATCATGCACCAGACGTAGCCTAGAAATAATTTTATTCGCTCAAATTCAATTAGGTGCTGTGATGGTAAGGAGCAAAACTAGATTCCTTAAGACAAGACCCAACATTTTAATGGCAATCAATACCTCCCTCCCTCTATGTATGAGCTCTCTGATTATTATTATTATTAATCTTGATACATGGGAAGCTGAACAGTGGACAGGGTGAAGGACTAAACTGTGCCTCTGCAGCCACTGTGCTGAACTGAATGAACTGAGTGCAGGAGCACAGGAGTGGAACTTTTAATTATCTCAGAGAGACGAAGCCATGGAAATAAAGTTCTTATCAACGCACTGCCAACAAATTGATAAACCAGATGCAGAACAACTTCTTATAAAAATAAATTATAAAAAATTAGAGTACAGAAAGAGACAGACTACTCATAAAAGCAGACAAGAGAGTTTAAAATTTTTTGGTTTTCATGCAGTTTTCTTACGAGATTCTCACCAGAGGATGAGAAACAAACCAAGAAATTCTTGAACTATTTACTTACATGGAATGAAGGAGATATCACAGAAACAATTGTACATATAGATGATTTTAAAACTTTCCTTGGTGCATCTGAAAACCCACCTACAAAAAACAAAGGTAGAAGCAAACTTGAGTAGTGTGAAGCTATAGGACACATCTCCAACAGCCTAAAAATAACCAATGAAAGTTTCTACAGCAAATCAAATACACAAAATAAGCTATCACCATGTCAAAAACTAATATTTTTACAGTGATATTCTATAGGAAAAGTGAAAATAACAAATGCCCTGATTCAGAAAATTAGAGACTGTAATGGCATTGCTACTTTCTAGCCATCTGGATCCACAGAGATATTTCATACTGCTGAGAACTAGGGCCTAAACTGAAACCAGAAGGACAAAAGAGAGAAAGATGGACATAAGAGAGTAATTTAGCCTCAACAGCCCAAAACTGTCAGGAGTCTACCATTTTTAGCTTGTAAGATAGAGCATGTATTTAGCATCTGAAAAGTCTGGATTTTGTAATAAGCACCAGACTCAATCTTAATGTGCAGAGGATACAGCCTCTTTGTAAGGCATTCAATAACATCATACTTGATCATATAAGAAGAGCCATTTAGACTTCACTGATTGAGCAATGGCTCATCTGCAAAATATCAGTGTATAGAAAAAGCAAAAGAACACATTACAAAAGGATATCCAGTCCTCCTGATAAGACTTTAAAGCAATATATAATATACCCTGGATTAATATCATATTAATAGCTATGGCAAACTCATACCCTTGCCATTTCAATAGCCTGAGCCAAATAGGGAATGCATCTAACTATCTTTTCAGTACTTCTACTTTTTAAGTGTTATATTGAATCAGGTCAAGCAGAACCCAAGATACTTTATTTCAAGGCTATTTCAACGGTTAGCGCTGCAATTTAAATAGAAAGCGAGTGGTACTGTTCTCTGTACTTTAAACTATTTTAATAGTTTAAATAAATGAAAGTTATTGAAACTGGTTTCCAGAAATGAACTTGAATCATGCACAAATGTGCTGTTTCAATACAGAATAAGATCAGCAGTGCAGAAATGAATTACATTAAAAAGCAAAAATATGCTAAATCAGACAAAGAATTGAAACTCCAATACATCACAGGTGATTCTCCAGTAGCACATGTTTCCACCCAGAATACACCTATTGCACACAGAAAGCAGAAATGAAAAGAAATGCTAATCCATGTAACAATGCAGCTTCACAGAAGCAGTGAAGGGCTTCAGTTGGGTCCTTAAAAGCAAGCATTGGGGCAGGATGAGATACAGCAGGATGCAAAGGGAATAGTGACTCAAAGATAGGTTCCCACCTTCTTCTCTACCCTGCTGTCCACACTCCAGGAAATAGATGCCTTTAGCATTGCTAAAGCACATATAGAAAAATATATTTGAGAAATAGATATATAAATATATATATATTTGAGAGGTTACATGGTGGTGCATGATGTTTCTAAGATGATTCTCACTCTTTTCTATTTCTTTTTATAGACCCCAACCCATGAAGGAAAGACCTTGCTGACGGAAGCAGTTTCTCTGCGGAGATGTTCTACTGGCATAGAGCTGGCAAAACTATATTAAATTTTAACAGAAAGCTTAGAAGTTGCCTACAGCAAACCTTGGCCAAAGATCCACCATAGATTTCAGTCTTAGATACACATATTTTGTATTTCAAAACAGAACTTTAATCCTCACAGCCTACATCAACTAACCTTGGGAATGCCAAGGTTTTTATCACAAAAGCTTAGGAGGTCCCAAAATTTTGTCATCCAGCAGGCATGTCCAGAAACATCCCAATTCCAGCAGGTTGGGAAATGCCCACCTTTGAGGCCTGAGCTTCATTAGGAACTGCAAAGACTTACTCCCTCCAACATTTTGCCCAAGGATATCAGTCCCACAGGCAAGCAGTACTTTTGCCTAGAGAGGTTCAGTGCAAAAATGCATCAGCAAAGACCTTCTTCAAAATCACTTGTCATCATCACTGTGACTAATCCTGCACTCTTCCTAACAACCCTTCTCAGCTTCTAAGTACAGAAATCTGTTACCTATTTCAAGAAAATGCACTGAACATAAAAGGTGGGGCAAGAATCCAATGACCAGATATTGCAATTACTCACATCCTGGCTGTAAAGTCCCCTTACAAACCCACACCTAGCTTCACTTGCAGCTCATTCTGTGACTGGAGTGAAGGAAGGGGAACAATTATACTATCTCAAATCATCATTATTGTTTCAATGATTGCATTAGCATTCTCAAAGCATAAACCACCCACAAAACATTTGAGGCAGACATCTAATGATGGATTTTCCCAACAGAGAAAGCAATTCCTCTAAGCAATAAAACAGTCTGTGAGAAATCCTGCAGTCATAAATCTAGTATTTCTCATTACAAAATTTACATCAGCCACAAAGTGATTACTTCTGAAATTACAAACCCTTGTGGGCAGAAATATTAGTGGGTTACCAATTGCCATTCTCATGAGTCATGAGAAAAGCAGTTCAAGTCATAATAGTCTTGTAAAAAGCAAAATATCAAAAGAATTAATAGTCTTATTATAGACAGAAAGTTTAGGGCATCCACATAACAAGTATATAGGCATCAAAATACAAAGACCAGCAGTAAGTTCCCATCAAAACTTTCAAATGTTACCAAGTAATACCAAATACCAATACAGGTTTGCATTGCTTAGATATTACTTGGTAAAGTTACAGTTCTATCTATACAACTTTTCAACATATCTCCACAAAAGTAGTACCTAGACCCTCCAAACCTCCCCAGCATTCCCCACACGGGAGCATGCAATGTGCAGAAAGGAAAGAGAGGGACGAGAGAGAAGAGGGGAAGTGTCCGGGGCCTTCCACTCTCGCAGAACACGGGCAGGATTTCAGTTCCCCGGGGCAGGGCAGCGCTGAGCCCCTGGCTCCCACCTGTGCCAGGTGCTGGAGGCACACAGGATGTGCAGCGCCAGGGCAGGGCCCAGCCACAGCACAAGCCCCTTGGGCAACCTGGGCAATTCACAGGATGTTGTTCAGCACGTTGAATAATGAGGATTTGGAGCAGGCTGTTCTTCCTGGAGACTCTGGGAGCTTGACTGAGACCAGCAGAGCACACATAGGGGTGGTTTCAGCTCACCACAGCCCTGTGAATAGGGACAGTATTTTATTTTTACTGCAAGTCCAATCACTGGCTATGGTGGTACTTGCCTTATACAGCACGGTGTAAAAATTATTACAGGCAAGGTAACAGTAGCAAAAAAGCCTGTAAATATACGTTTGGAAAAGAAATTAAGTTTTATTACAAACAAAAATAAACTAAAATAATAATTCAGGCAATTTATATCTCATCTTTGCCGTACGCCATGCACTTCGGTTTAGCTATTCCTGGAGTAAGCTGATCACATACTCTGTGTTTATGGGAAAATTATTTCTAAACTATTTTAATTCCTTATCATGAAATGAGACAATATTTAACATGCTCATGCTATCTTCCCTAATAACATAGGGAATTAAAATTTACAGGGTTGTAAGATGATATCTCATTGTGGCATTAGCTTTTTGGTTTTTGTTCTATTGGTGCCATTTTAGTAGATGATAATCACTTATCAGTTCAAAATATTGGCTTAATAAAAAACATATGTCAGTATTCTCATAATGCATTTTACCACTAAAGGATAAATATATATTTTCTGTCTATTTTCTATTTCACTAGATATTCATATAGGAATTTGGTTTTGTAGCTGGATATACATCGACCACTACACATAGTGTTACTTGTTCACAATTCATTACAAAAATGCCTTTTTTGGAAAGAAAACTCAGAACACTGTTACCTAGAGTTGGAGAAAAATTAACCATCATATTACGCATAATTCAGCTTCAGGTCTCATATTTAAAAACCATCATCAATCAGATTTACTCTAATCTGGGGCTGAGGTCTATTGACCAGCACAGAGGGGCAAGTATCCTCCTTCCTGCTGGGGAAGATGCTCCACTCCTTATGTGCTCAGCAGCTTGCAGAACAAACAATCCAGGTAACTCCATATAAAGTTTTTCCTTTTATTTCCTTTCTACTCTTAAATAATTATGAAACACATTTCATTACAACCCCAAACCAGAAAATTTCTACTTTTTACAGAGCAAATGTATCTTCAGTGGCAGCCAAGCTACTTTCCCTGCACTGTTAATCCAACGGGACATGACATCACCCATGATCAAGATCAGTCATCTCCACATGAAATTGCTTTCTGCCTCTTTTAAAAAGATGCTTAAAGATGAAAAATTATTTTTGATATTAAAGTTAAAACACTTCATCTTGAAACTGTCAAAATGAAAACTTCCAATTTCCTGGATTGTTTATTAAAAATCTCAGAATAGTTTTGCTATTTTTCAAAGCCTGATCTGGCCGACAAAGAACTGAGAAGCAAAATTGTTCACTAGATTAAACTATAGTTCTCTCTTCCCCAGTCTGATAAAAAAAAAATAAATATATGTGTGTATATATATATATATATATATATATATATATTTTCTCTTGGATTTTGGGAACACCCTAGCAAATGTGGTGAAAACACTATTTCACTCCAAAACTTTCAGAATTTCTTTTGAGTATTTTCATTACCACTTTTAATGAAGAATTGAGATTGATAATAAACTATTAAAATTAATTACAGCAATTAGTCAGGACAGGGGAATTCAAAGAAGAGTATTTTTCCAGAGAGCAGAAATCCACTTTCACACAACAAATTCCCCAACTAAGAGGCTGAACTGACATCCACAGCACCTGGCCCACTGCAGAACTGGTCACTCTTCAGATTACAGACTGGGTAGGAGTTGTTCTTCACTGGTGCTCTTTGAGGGAAGTTTTAGACAGTAACATTCACCAACAGGAACGTATAAGCAGCCCACTTGTTTTTGCTGAAGGGAAGAGGTGGGATACGAAATGGGCTGTTTGAGAAACAACAGTGTATGAAACATTTATGGAAATATTTGAAAGCATATTGTTTTGGTTTTACCTCAGATAATGTTTTCATGCACTTTTTCAGTGTCTTGCACACTAAAAATTAAGT